CCCCTTCTTCTTCTTCTTCTTCTTCCTTCTTCTTCTTCTTCTTCTTCTTCTTCTCTCCATCTTCTTCTTCTTCCTCCTCCTCCTCCTACCATCACCCACCTCCGTTTTTTTTTTTTCTTTTTTTTTTTTCCGGAAATTTGTCGGGCAGTGGGCACACACCTCCGACCCCTTCTTCTTCTTCTTCTTCCTCCTACCATCACCCATGGCGGGCAATCGAGTACCATTCGAGCCTGAGACTGGTGCAGACAGAGAAAGGACGCTCAACCAGTCAGAGCTTTGGAAATAGGCGGAGAGAGGCCAAAGGGTGACGACCGGCACGTCGGCACAACTCGTGGAGGTTGCGTTGCAGTCTGTGCAACAAAAAGTTCATCGGCACGCTCAGCAAAGGCGTGAATCACCACACCCAACCGTCGGGCAATGCCCGCTGTCCCCGTACCACCGGTGAGATTCTTTCTGTGATTCGGAGCAAGCACCCGAAGGTGAAATTGCTCCCTGCGTTGATGGCGAAATTGAACGAGTACTATGCTTTACAGGGCCGTTCGGCAGATGCTGAGGATCCGCAGGATCTTGCATTGGGTGATGGAGCTGGTGCATCGGGGGAGCCCGGTACGTCGTCGGCAGGGGGAGACGGTGGGCTTGACACAGGTTCAACGGGGGGACAAGGCAGTGGTGTCGGTTATGATTTGACATCTGTTCAATGGCGGGAGAGGGCAACTTTTGTTGCCTGTACAGCCGCTCCGGATTCCAGGGGGCCTGACCTCCCGTCGGAGATTGCTGAACACCTGCGGGGTCCCGTTCTGGCTGCTGCTCGCCCTCCACGACCTCCATCGGGTGTGCAGCAGTCATCCATGACGAGTTACGTGGTGGATGAGGTGCAGAAGGAGTTCGACCAGGGGGTTGCTTCGTTCTTCTTTGAGAACGCCATCGCCTTCAATGTCACGCGCTCAGACTCGTACAAAAACTTGGAAAGGATCATGAACCTGGCAGCGAGGTCGAGGAAGATGTTGCGAATGCTAGGGTACAACTACTTGAGGACGAAGGCTCTGCCCGCGGAGTACAAAGTGGTGGACAATGATTTGGACAAGATCCGAGAGCCGTGGGATGTCACAGGCCTCACCTTGATGACGGATGGCATAACAACGACCAGCAAGAGGCCGGTCATGAACTTCATTGCAGCCGGCGATTCGGGGGCGGTCATGGTGAGGAGTGTGGACATGGAGGGGAAGGATAAGTCGGCTCTGACTTTGGCGAGGATGTGGGTGGAGGTCATAAGGGAGTTGGGGGTGCATAGGGTCAACGCCATCTGCACCGACTCGACATTTTTGCCAGGAAGATTTTGGCTGAGCACGAGGACCCTGCCATTAGAAGCATTCCATGGGTGCCGTGCGCATGCCATGTGTGCAACTTGCTCATGTCTGACATTGCTTCGGTGTCATGGGTTGCGGAGGTGATTCTGCAGGGCAAGGAGATCACAACCTTCATCAAGAGACATCAGCGGGCGTTGGCGATGTTTCGGAAAAGTGGGAGGGAGTACAGGACACGGATGAACATCAAAGAAGGGAAGCCGTTGGAGATGATCCAGCCGGGGGAAACTAGATTTGGCACGAACTTCCTCATGCTGCAGCGTCTTCGGGAGTGTGAGGGCGTGTTGCTGTTGACCGTTTCCAACCCGTGGTGGGATGACTCTCCATGGGACAGGACAGCAGCGACACGGGCGCGGTCGTGCAAGGAGCTCATACGAGACCCTGGTTGGTGGTTGGCTGTGGACAGGGCATGCACCTTGCTTGAGCCCGTTTACGCCTTGATGAAGAACATGGACAAAGATGGGAGGATGAGTATGCAGGTGTGGTCGTTGGGCATCACGTTGGAGAAGAGAATGGCTGTGCTACCCATGGATCACGAGACAAGGCAGTTCGTGATGGCGAAGTTCAAAGACCGTGTGCGGATGATGGCTCTACCTGTGCATTCAGCGGCTCGGATGTTGCACCCGCTCCACCGATCACCTCGACTCTTCGACGACATGGATTCCGAGGAGATTGCGAACACTTTGACACACTTTGCTTCGGTTCACCCGAAGAATTCAAAGGAGTACAAAGAGTGTTGGAACTCCGTTAAGAGTTTCCATCACATGGATCCGGAGTGGATTGGGAAGAACTCTGAGGAGGCTTTGACGGGCGGTCACGTGTCTATGGCGCAGTGGTGGTTGACTTACGGGAAGAGGCACCCAACCTTGATGAAGATCGCTGTCAAAGTGCTTAGCATGTGGACCACAACCTCTCCCTGTGAGAGGAATTGGTCCACGTTCGATCTCGTTGACTCGAAGAGGAGGAATCTGTTGAGCCCGGAGAACCTGGAGATGCTCGTCTTCATCCACTGGAACAAGAAGTTGCTGCGCATGTTGAAGGCCAAGATGGGATTCGTGAACACCGAGCAGCTAGAGTGGGAGACACCCGAAAACGACTCTCCTTTCGACGGTTTCATGCGAGACGGGGAGTACGACCCGCAGAGGTGAAGAGCAGGGCTGCCAACTGGGCGAAATCTCGAGGACGCAGATCGAAGAGCACCAGATTCGACGTGCGGGAGATTCAGGAGGAGAGGGTGGATGACGGGGCGTGGCTCCTTGATGTTTCCTACCGCCCTCGCCGTCTCGCGGTTGACGACCGCGGGAAGACCGCTGCTGCTGTTGATGAGGAGGAGGACGACGGAGACGACAGCGATGGTGATGATGAGTTACTCGAAGTGCGGCTCACAGACAAGCGGCTTAGCAGGCGGTCGGGCGACGAGTCATGTTCCGCGACAAATGTCGACATCACGCCGCTGGCTGGCCCTGCATCCGGCGGGCCTTCGGCGGCTGCTTCGGTGTCATTGATGGGCGACSCTGGTGCCCGTACACGACTGCGCAGCTGCGCGGCCGGTGGTGTGGCTTCAGTTCAAGGCACCAGCATAGTCTTGGGCGCGCAACACACTCCTCAACGGCGAGCTGCGGTCGAGGAACTACGCACAGGCTGCGGGGCGACATGCGGAGGATCGACGGATGTTGACGAAGACAGTGCTGCTGCGGGGGATGTTGGAGACTTTGGTGTGTCTGTGGACGTTCTGGTTCCCGGTGCTGCTGAACACGAGGATGGAGACACAGGTGTGGACAAGGACGACCCGGTCTCTGGAGCAGCGGAGGACACCCATTGCACCGACGGCGATGTGTTCTCCACTCCGGACCCAGGGTTGCCGCTGGCTGACAGATTCGCCTCCTTGTTGCAACGCGTGGCCCCCATTGTTGCGAGAGGCTCCAAGACAGACTTCCAGAAACACCTGGCTGCGATGTCCCCCATGAGGAGTGATTCCGAGGGACAGACTCCTGATTGGGCCAGATTCACTGGACCGATCCCTCCCACTCTGCAGTTGAGCGAGGACACTGCCACACAGGCCGGGGACGGATCGCAGGGCATGGTGTACAAGAGGAGGACCCGAGCTGCTGGACTTGACCACCCACAAGATGCAGCTGCACAACGTGAGCCAGACTCGCCGCCCGAAATCAACGCGAGCTTGGTGCGCCAAGTGAAGAGTTTGGCGGGCAGGAAGAAAGGAGGGAAGAACAAGCCGAAGGAGACAGCGGAGCCGTCGAGACAACGTGGACGAGGCAAGGGACGCAGGACAGTCACACCGCCGGCGACCTTGCAAGAGAAGCGTGCTGTTGTTCGGCAGGCAAAGAAGAGGAAGGCACAAAAAGTTCTAAAGAAAGCGACCACAAAGAGGAGGAAGTGTGTGCAAGAGGACGATGAATCCGCAAGCAGCAGCACTTCGTCTTCCGCAGAGGAAGTGGAAGCGCGACCGAGGTCATCGACCGACGTGTCGTCATCGAGTGACGCGTCGTCCTCCTCTGACACGTCGTCGAGTGACGCGGAGGAGACAGGCACGAGTAGCAGCAGTGTGTGTGTGTGTGTGTGTGAGAGAGAGAGAGAGAGAGAGAGAGAGAGAGAGAGAGAGAGAGAGAGAGAGAGAGAGAGAGAGAGAGAGAG